CATATGTAACCTACTTATGATAGTGGCGCAAACTTATGAAACCTTTCCTCAGCTATTTTACAGTAGGAAATCCGATTTTTGGCACTGATATTACTCTTTGAAGAAAAACTATGGTGATATTCGGAATGAACGGCATTACACTACTTCGAGTGATATGTAGCTCAACATATTTTTCAAAACAAATTTTTTTCGGAAAATTATGGCTGAGGTACTCCCCAGCCAGATTTTGTCGTAAATTTTTTTCTTAAAAACTTTCTGTTTTCTTAAAGATGATTCTCTGAATGATGTATGGTTATTTCTGAGCAAAAAAATTGTATGTTTGCCTGCTTATGCGAAAACTTCCGACTGTGCTGCAAGTACTCAAGGACTATTATATAGGAGTATCCATAAATCCTAAAGCCCTATCCTGCAGCGGCAACCATAAGTAGGTGTATCATAGATTCAGCTCAGCTCGCTAAGCTAGAACCAGTCAGCCAGCTTTGTTCGCATGAGTCGGGTCTGTTGCACATCTAATGATCAATCGGTCTTTAACCACAGAAGAGCTCAAAGTTTACCTAAATTTTCAAACATTTTCTCCGCCACATACACTACTTGTGTATCGAAGACATTTTATCACGCGACTCAATTACCTTCAGCTAACAAAAAAGCTTACTCTTACTTGACAAAGCAAAACTCAAGTACACGTTTCTTACATTACTCATAAATCCAATATTTCCTAACGCATTCAACAATGACCCCAATAGTCCTTAAAACTTTACGGATGTATACTGCAAACTATGCTTACCCTAAGTATTAGTCGCCTTAGTTAGTGCTGATTAACTGAGTAGTCTCTCTAATTAGTTTTAATTAGTTGGGTACTAATTAATTAACTAACTTACAAGCACATAATGCGCTCATAGCCTATGGCTGCAATTCATGAAATCCTACTATGTGCTGTTAAGTATAAAAATGGACTGGCGTGAAGTGAGCTCGAAATTTAGAATTTACGCACTGTGAGGTTCACTTGGTTGACCACATTTATATACATAGGAGTATCATTAGAAATATGGCTCTGACATTCTACTCGATGTAGTTATGCTTATTGAATGAACTTATAGATTAAATCGTGAATGAAAAATGATTAACATGCAGAAACAATGAAAACACGTTATAGTCAGCATAAAAAATACGTCGTGATGAACTTTGTTGAAAAAAGTTGATTGAGCTAGCCATGATTTTTCTTAGATATTTTCACGTAGAAGATGGAGTTTTTTACGGGCTATCTTCTGATATCGTAAAATTCCTGAGAAACCTCATTTTTTAATTCAAAGGTCAAAACACTTTTAAAAAAACGCAAAAAAAACATGAAAAAACATGGTAGGAAAAACTATACATGTTTTCATTAAAAAATCATCGTATTAATCCTATTTTTCTATAAAATGATACTTGTGTAAAGTCGACAGAAAAAGATGCTCTTCCTTTTGACAAAAGTCAGTGCTATAACAATTCCTGGAATAATTCTTTAGTTTTACAATATATTAAAAATTACCAAAATAAATGATCATTTTGCATCATAACTCTATAAGGCCTGTTACCATGACATACGTCATACAGGGCTGCCAAATCCAAATTTCAAAAACCAGGAGTTTTTTGCGAAAAATCAGGAGTTTACCAGAAGATTTTTACTAAAAAATCAGAAGAAAAATCAGGAGATGTTTATTGAAATCAGGAAATGAATTAGTGGTCTTCTCTCAAAGAAAACTGAAGTTTTCGTTTATCTAATCCCTTGTTATGTTCTTCTACTAAGTTACTAATCACAAAATTTCTTCTAAGTGATATATATTAGAAAAAAAAGATAGTTGTGTGGAATTTATTTTACTACTCATTTCACAGCGGTTCATCAAAATATACCGACAAAATAGAAAATGAAGTTTAATTAGACATCAATATGTAACTAAACAAAATGAGCATACATGAACAATAATTTATCAACTATACCGTTCATGTCACTTTTGTAACATGACCATAAACGGAAGGGTCACAAGGCCTGAGTATGCTTGAGCCTACTCTAAATTGGACAGCTAAGGGCTTAGGTAGGTTCGCGGATGGAATAAAAGAAGACTTATATAGGATCTATTCATAGACGATGGAATCACACGGCTTCAGCAGACTAAAGCCCATCTTAGGTTCCGATTCCATAGACTATGGTACCCTCAAATAATTATTTTCTACTACGTCAAATTGATAGGTTTGTGCAGTACATAAAAACTTTTGTATGAACATCAAGATTTTTTGCCGCTATCGGCAATAAATAGTAACATTTATTGAAACAAACCTAGAAACTGTTTTTGAGAAAACTTTTAGTTTTGTGTGGCTAAATGTCCAGTCTTGGGTCAGCCATGATTTAAAGTGGGGTTCTTTCGTTAAAAGTGACGAAGTACTGCATAAAAAATCTGAATCATACCAGCTAGTAGCTGCCAAAGACTTTCATCATTTTTAGCAACTAAATTCACATACCCGATCATTAGTGTTATGAGAGCAACTTTTCTCGATTATTCTTTTTGTTCTCAGAAAAAATTTGTTGTTCTCGCCCATATATTCTCTTTCGCGGAAAAAAAATTGTTATTCTTGTTCTTACACTCTTTCTCAGAAAAAAATGATTACTCTTGTTCTTACACTCTCGTTCTCAGAAAAAAAATTTATTTCCATTTCCGTAAGCAGAAGCGTAAACCAGTTCATAGATCGGCGGTGTGTAAGTGTGATTTTATTTTTTTCTTCTTTCGGCAGCGACTAAAAATACTCAACTTTTTTTGTTTATCGGCGGAGACGAGTGAATTTGTTGGACGATTTCTTTAAGGTTTTCTTATTACTGAGAAATTATCGGATGGGAAAAGAGAAAACAATGGTAGAGAACACAGTGATAAAAAACCTAGACAGAAACATCGTTGAAAAGTGATCTCAGGCATCGAAAAATCTTCAAAACTATTAATTTTTTTGTCCCACCGACAGCTGCGACTCAGCTCGTCGATTTACACTTCTAATCGTAAGACGTCGGAATTCATATTCCTGTTTTAGTTTTAGATTTTAAGATAATCGTGACACGACTTGAAATTAAAAATATAATTATGATCGGAGCTACAGTAGGTTAGTTATGTAAAAATAAAAAGCTGTTACATACATGCATTTGAATATGTGTGCAAATACGAGAAAAAATGCGGAACACCAATACTTAATGGAGTTCCCATTGCCATAAGAAATGGAGCGAGAAAACGACGAATATAGAAAAATATTCTCGCAGAACAAAATCTTTTCAACACAATAAAAACATTGATAATGTAATGTCGTTTTTGTGAACACTACTGCTTGGACATTCTTGCGTTTTTTAGCAAAGCAGATGGAAAACAATTCTTGCGAGAGTTGAAAGTCAATGAAGATAATCATCGACATGTTTTCTTAAATCTACGTTTTTTGGCACATAAGTTGCAAATGCTTTTCTTATCTCTATCAGTGTCATACATTACGAAATACGAGTTCGAAATGAAAAACACTAACTTTGTTTCATCAAGATGGCATCAAAAAAATTGGCTTACTCCACATTTTTAATTTTCTGGTGCGAATCCTGTAAAAAATTGTTGAGCCTACCCTAAATCCAAAACATTTCGCCACCTATGACCATGGCCATATTTTTCTAAAGACTGAGTTTGTTTCAATAGGTCTGAATTATTTAAAGGATAATTATAGAACTCTGTATAACTGAGATGATTATTTATTTTAGTTCCTAATTATGCGCCGATAAGATCGCACTTCAAATCGTTTCTATTCTTAGTCCACAAAAATTTCATGTGGCTGAAGATCAATTCACAAATAGCATTCTAGATTGATATAGAAAAAGTGAACTAAAGTAGTTTTTGTAAATAAGGTACATTTTGACCGTCAAGAAGATAAGCTCACAAATAAACGCATGTTATCAAGCATAACAAGCAGAAACAACGTGTTTTCCCATTGTCTATTGCATCTATGAAATAGTGTGATAGTTCTCTTTTTCTTTGTCTTATTGATTCAAAATATCAGTACAATTAAATGTGGCAAAATCCTTTAAAAAACCAGGAGAAATCAGGAGAAAATCATAAAAACCAGCTCCTTGATCCAGGAGATTTTTTCGCCAGGAGAAAAGTCTAAAAACCAGGAGTCTCCTGGCTAAATCAGGAGATTTGGCAGCCCTGACTTCATAATTCAATGAATCATTATCAGATCGAGTTAATATTTCGGATTTAGTAATATCTATATACGACCTTTATTTTCAGATAATTAAATCCAAAATCAAAAATTTTACTCCAGCCATGTTGTCTGGTATTCTAGTAGATCTCCTGCTAATACTCATAAAGTAAATTAGAAAAAGAAATAAAAAGGTAATCATTTGGAAATATTGTAGCGTACAATTCGCATGGTCTGTTTTTTTTTGTCTTAAGTTTCACTTCATACCATATGAGGTTCAATGTCTTAGCAGAAAGATCTACGTTTGCAGTCCATCACCGTCAGAAGTTAGAGAAGTATGGCATTGTATCTAAGTTTCTTACATCGAACCTAAACTATTTGTATTATTCAACCAATGATTCCGATTCCAATGTAGATAAGACTTTCGATGCTATTGCTGAATATATCCGATGGATCGACTAATGAGAAAATAAGTTGAAACCAAGAGATATTCTAAATAGAAGAAAACGATTTCAATGAAATGAAGAAAAGAGAAAAAAAGACAAACTTCTTCACGAGCTACTTTCATATCATCTTTTACATTAGTAAAAATAGTAGGTCGAATAAAATAACCATTATCATCAACTTTTTTTACCCGATTGAATACATTCAAGAATTGTTTCCAATTGAGTATGACTGTTTTGTAGAATACACAAAAGAAATCAATGTTAATCTGTTGTCTTATCAAATTGTTTTCTGAATCTTCAATCAATATGTTTTTTCCATAGTTTAGATTATGGCACTTTGCTTGAAATGCTTTCCTATACCTATTGTCCTTGTTCAGTTGTAAGATCAAATGGATCACCAACAATACGTTTCTTTGCTAATTCGACACTTTTAGACACAAAGGCATCGTGAAGTGTGGAATGAACAAATATTCTTGATGCAGCAAAACATACTTGACCTGCATGAGTGAAAAGTGCTCTATGAGCAGTTCGAACAGGAACATCGACTAAAACATGCAAAAACAAATTAATCTTATCGTTTATAAACCTTTTTCATCATTAGGAAGCACAATGAAAATGAAAGTAATATAATTATTTAATACATACGATCAGTATCTTCACAAATGATAAATGATGATTTACCATCTATATGTGATGAAAAAGGCAACAAAGCAGACAGGTAAGAAAGATGATTTTACTACCTAAGTTCTAGTGAAACACGCTTTAGATTAGTTTTTCCTGCAGTTTCTTGAATCTTTTCCCCAGCCTAAAACAAAATATCATGTGCTTTTGTTATTCTGTTTTTCATCTGCACTAATCTTGCCTAGAATGAACCTGTAAAAGCTATTTTATTAATCTTTTCATGAATGACCACACTTAGGTCCATGACTTACATATGTATATCGTTATAAGAGTTGTTTTCATTCTGGTGATGTGTATTACCTAATACACTGTTAATAATACCTGGTGGAAAACCAGCCTAGAATATTGATTTAGTATTCGAATAAATTTTGATTGTTGATAGATGATGAATAGTACTTCCTTGATGACAGAAGCACAAAAGAGTGCAGTAAGTGGTGTTTGTTCAGCTGGTTTTAGAATAACTATATTGCCTATTTGTTATTGCAATATATAAGAAAGCGTAAATTAATAGAAGTAATGGAGTTACTACAAACTAATGCTGATCCAAGTTACAAGGCCAACATAACAGTCTGAAATATAATGGCAACAATACTTTTGTATGATGCATATGTAAGAAAGAATATCGTACTGAATAATTACTGAAAGAAGAAAGTACAATTTGAATTTTCATTTATTGAATGTTTGAACTGACCATGAAATGATTTGTTCAGAGATCCCAACTGATTCATGTCTAATATAGGTAATAAAAATACCTGATTCTGATGGAAGTATTTCACCAGTGATTTTATCAGCCCATCCAGCGTCTGTAACATGTGAATATCATTGATAATAAAAAAAGAGAATGTCAGAAAGGCTTACAATAATCAAGGCAAACAGCTGCTCCAAGAATCTCATAATAACTCTCTTGTAGCAGTTTTTTCACTATTCAGTGTTTCTAATCTCTGAATATTCATTTATGATGTGGATGCAAACAAACAGAGTGAATATTTTTACTGCTAAATAATCTACAACACGTAGAAGTAAATCAGCAAGTTTACGAATCAACTGAGCACGTGCAGCAGGATCTAACTTACGCCATGGTGAATAATATTGGAAATCTTTTTCAGCAGCTTCAATTGTCTTATCAAGATCACTCTACAATATTAGAAACAATAAAAATTATACGTAGAACGAAAATAATCATGTGTATATATATATTGATACTTTTGTGCCTTCTTCTACTTGACAAATTTCTTCATCTGTACTTGGATTAATGATAGAGAACGGATTCACCTTTGTCTACATGATTGACCTTGATTTATCACATAAGAAGAAAAGAAAACATGGACATATATTAGCTCGTTTCTTTATCTACTTATATTCATTGCTGTTTCAGTGGCAGATGATGTCTTCAATCTTAATGAATGATTCAACTTATGAAACCGATTTGGTTAAGAGAAAACAAAAATTTGATAAGGTAGCACACCTGAGTATTGTAACAAGTCTTCGTATCAATGTGGTATTTTTTAAGACTTGTCTTATCGATTGGACTTTGCGACAAGCGAAGAACAATTTTTTTAATAATATATGTATTTGATATTGCACTTTACGATAGAACTATTTTGCTAACAGCAGCAAATCAGATCGTCTTTAGTATATGCAAAACCATATTGTTTTGATGTGATTCTATTACTAAAGATCCTATCAGTTCGTTTAATGTGTAACACTCAATATATGAAGGAAGACTTCCAGAACGAAATTGTCACGATGGAAGGAAGGAATTTTTAGAATAGTGAAGATTTCAAGCAAATAGAACTAATTTTCATAACTGTACGCTGGATTTCGAAAGAGTTGTAAATAACAGGCTAAAGCATTCTTTTCACCAATATCATATATCTACGTACGTGATTTCAGTTAACAAATTAACATTTTTTACAAGAAAATTATTGTTACTGTTCAAAACTGATGTCACTTAGATGATAGAGAATAGGAACAATCAAAAAATTTATTATATATAAAAACTTCGTTAGATTCACTATATATATAATCAATAAGCAATGTTTTACGATAGCAGAAAAGAATCTATCACACTTTTCCTTCTTCAATAATCAATTTGTTTCTTTGTATTGTATTTTGTTTAAAGTCTTTTAAACAATAAAATTTTAAATGTTATTAATTATGTATCTTAAATTGAAACTAGATTATGATCATTCATACGAGTTATTACCGTAATTAGGAGTTGTTTCAACTGATTGCTCGTAGTATTCTATTCTTTGCACTTAAACATTTTATTTGAATTAGATGTACGTATTAGTGAGACTTTCGCAATACATGGAAGAGTTTAGAGAGCAAACTACATAAATGTTAGAAAGTTAAACAAGCAAATCCAAATAGCTGTTCTTCATGAAAAATTTGTATTGTTTTTCCTCAAGCAAGTTTAACAACAATTATTTTTACTTGATAATATGCTTCGAGACCATATCGATCTAATTTTCTTTCCTGATCTGATTGTTTAAAGCCACCAAATAGTGCT